GTTTATTAATTTGCATAATTTATTTAGCAATCAAAGTTACTATTATGTGCGCACTGGACTACGTTCAATATTGCGTGTTTACTAATGCACTTGTACTTGATATAGTAAACACATAAATTCATAATATCATTCTTGTTTTTGTGATAAAAATATATAAAATTTAATTAACGTTGCATGTTTAATTAATAATATATTTGTATGTGTAATAGTATGACCATTTTCTTACTAAGATGTTCAGAACATTGTGGCTAAGAACGAAAAATCCCCTGCCATATTGGATGGAATATCGTTGACACTACTACCACTTGAAGAGACATGCGTGTTACAGGTTTCTGGACTGCCTGATAGCGTCACCCCTGATTGGCTGGAATTGTATTTCGAGAGTAAAAAACGTAGCGGCGGAGCTGATGGCGCCGTTGAAAAAGTTGAGATGCCGGACAGGGATGTTGCTATAGTTACATTCAAAAGTCCAAAAAGTAAGTGTGTACTTTACTTGGAGTGGGGGGGGGGTCAGATGATTTCACAGAATAGTGTGCCTTTGAGATTCGGAATAAAATTTTTGTTTTGTTTTTTCTGCTCACAAATAAAAGCCGACATTATGTCGTATTAACGTTGTTTGGCATCTTTGACCCATGACATGCATGACAACATACATTTAATTAGAGCGAAGTACACTTAACAACATTGTTATGTGCAAGGACGCTTAACTTTGAACACATGTTTTTGCCATTCATTTCGGATTTTCTATTCAATCATGCACCAAACAACAATGATATTGCAATTGCTTTTTAAAAAAAATCTTTTAGAAAGTTCGATGACCACACCCAAATTTGTTTACGTCAATATCTTTGCATCGACTGGTAGTATTCACCAGTGTGCCTTGTTGTATAGCCTTAACTCCTTTGTTTTATTTTAATGTTCTACAGTTGTTAAAAGTATTCTGAAGCGCACGCATAAGTACAATACACACTTACTCCATGTGTCACCTTTCTACAATTGTATGGAGGAAAATGACTACGATGACGACATCGATGTTGACATCGGATCCGACCAGGAAGAACAGAATGATACCAGTATATATGAGCATACGTACCATGCACCGAGAAGAGTAACTGAAAGTAAAACTTTCGCTTCTCCAGCTGCAGCAGCGCCCTCTTCGTCACAGCCTTTAGATTACAAGTTACCAATTGATGCGGATTTAATGGACTTTATCGAGAGTAACAGGGTACACAGAGACGAATTCAAAAAAACCATGCACCGTGTAAATGCTGTTGTCATACCCGGAAATGATGATAATATCATTATTGTGTCGCCATCGAAAAGTATAAGAGGGAAATCAAAGATACACGAATGGGAAACTCAAACCCAAGACACCCTATTCAAGTTCGTTAATCAGTTTTCTATCTACGAAAAACAGCAAGTACCAACTGATATTTGGTTGAATCATTCTTCTATGCTGGACGAGTTGTCGACATCCGTTAAGACAATTCAAGACAAAGGGGGCAACTCTATACGACTGATAGGAAAGACGGTTGACGTGGAGACGGCAGCTGCTAAGTTAGAAAGCGCTATCATAAAAGTGAAAGCAGAGATTGAAAGAAAGGCCCGTCAAAAAACATCAAAGATTGCAAGACAAAGTTTAGGCAAGTTAGAAATGTTGCAGCACGATTTAGAAGCAATAAAAAAACGCTTACCATCCGTTGATATAAGGATTGACTGGAAGACAATGGAGGTGGTGTTTAAGGGCTGTGCGGAAGATAATACAGCAGCAATGTGCGAGGTATATGAGAGTTTCAACAAGTTTAACACAAAGCGCTACGACGTTCATCCTTCGTTGGCAGGTTTTCTGGACAGTCGAAGTGGAAGACAGCTGCACAAAGAAAAACTGGCAAAACAAAATATTCATATTGGGTTGGATGTGGACGGGGGGAATGTGACAATCATCGCAATGTCTCAAAACGATATTCACACAGCTTGGCAGGCACTGCAGCGCGGTTTCGGTGTGGAAGAAGTTACATCAAAAAGTGATATAACGGCAGTTTTCCAGAAAGAGGATTTTACCTCTATGGTGGCCGAGCTAGAATCACGCTACAAAGTTCAAATTAATTTTGGCGAAAAGTCTGTTAGTGTTGCTGGGCCATCTGGAGACTTAAAAACTGTGAAGAAAAAACTGAATGACTATATAATGGCTAACCTCAAAGGAACTCGTTTCCAGAAAGTTGGAGAAGACATCATCCGATTTATGAGAAGTCATCGGTCTACAGACAAAATTGCTGAAATTCAGGAGAGGTTAGTTAGAAAAAGTGGACGACTGGTTATAAAGCACAACGGGTTTCATATCGAAGGTAATCCTGATGTAATTGATGAAGCATTGGCTGATCTGAACAAAATGATAGATGCTGTTGAAAGAAAGGCAAAGACCTTGAAAATAAAAGACAAATGTGAGTATACACAAATAATATAAAGATGTTACTTATATTCATGTGACACATATCGGGTTGTTATATTAAAATGTTTAAATATTTTTGTTTGAAAATCCATCTTTATATATGCAAAATCTTATGATTTATCGTAAAAACAATCTCTTTTTATGTCAGTAGATATAGCAGTATTTGTTTGTGCATTGCTATGTTTATTTGAGGTGGCGATTTGTCTTTAAATCGTGCTTTTAAAGCATAAATTATTTTTTACGAATATTTAAAATTATTTAAGCTATCGTCATTGGCCTCGATTTAGTAAATGATTGGTCATGATTTATTTTAGGCGAGTGTAAGTTGTTTAGCACTGACAAGGGAGAACAATTGGTAAAAAGTATTGAAACGAAGGTTGATTGTGCCATTCGAATAGATAAGAAGGTGAGACATAATTGTGGTCATTTCAAGAATGCAATGTCACATGGCGAAACCATATTGTACATGTATATCTATTTATTGACAAGCTGTATCGATAACGTAGGACCTACGTCAATATTCTGACGCATTTGTTTTATATTATTATGACAGGGATCCTTTTCTTCTATCAGTCGTGGAAGTAGGCCGTCCTTGGATACACCGTATACGTCGGTTCGCTCATCGTCGTCTTCGAGTAGTGTTTATACAAGAAAGGGAAAGAAAATAATCGTAAAACAAGGAAGTATTGCTGATGAAAGAGTAAGTGGTATTTATTGTGTTTCACTGACCACTGCGTGCATTCATTCTATATTTAGTGTATACCATGTTTATTATCTAACTTGTATTTTACTTCCTTTGTTTGTGTAGGATTCACATTAATTTTATGTTTTCTAGGTGGATAGTATAGTGACTTCTATTAGTGGAGATTTGGAATTAAGAGGTGGGGCTGCAAAAGCTATATTTGATAAAGGTGGAGATGGACTTGTTCAGGTAATTAGCCACGAGGTTTTTGATTTGATATACTCAGAAGAGAACCAATGTGGATGTGCGTGGATTGCGATTAGTGTAATTATATATATTCACAAAACATGTTCGACTTCGTCTACTTCACACAATTACACGGCGTATTGAAACGTAAATTGTATAGTACAGTTCGTGTCGAAATCTGCACAAAACTCTATTATTATCACACCCTCACTTGAAGGGGATGTCCAAGGCAGGTAAATAACCCTTGAATAGTCAGTCAACTAAAACAGACACGTGTTGATTAAAGTAAAAAGGTCGTCTGTATTTTTTCCGTGTTTGCAATCAACGGGGGTTTATATTTCAGAAAACAAGGAAGCTGGGATTGGACAAGCCTGGCGACGTTGGCTATACAAGTCCTGGCAATCTCAGGTGTAAAGAAGTTATGCATTGCATCTTGGGAAAATGGGATAAAGGTCAAGGAGAAAAGGTAAAGATAAAACATCTAAGTAGGCATATTATTATTCTATTACAACCATGGACAGAATAGCGTGCTCTTCCTTGTGCGAGTTAACACGGACGCTAAAGGTGCTACATTATCTGTTTTGTGTATGAACTGACTATTGGAACCATTGTCCCATACGCACTATGAATGTGGTGCAGTGCTTTTTGTATTTAAACTCTTTATTACCAAACGTTTCAGCGTGGTATTAAGAGTTTGTTTTCAGGGGTGGGTTTTACCAAGGTGGGAAATGGATGCACATAAGGGGTTAATTCCTTGAATTGCAATATAGAGGGTTCAGGCCGAAATACAATATATAGTGTTTTCATGTTTCGTCTGATATTTCTGTGGTATTCTGCTGCTGTAAGTAATGCACGATTTGTTCCGAAATTCAGTATTTTGTGTGCATTCCAGGGTTATTCGTTTTTTGCTGAAAACACCCCTATGTTTTAATGGCAGAGTCGAATAGTTTCACTCCCACTGGGAAATCTGCATTGTTGCTTGAATGAGAGCTAATTAAACACATTTCCCAGACCGGCGAAAGAGTATGCAACAGCCAATTTGAACAGCCTGTCACATGATTTTAGTCTGAATGTCAACTCAAAAAGAGGCTAGTCCATTATACGCAGGAGTAATTGGGAGTAGAATATGTGAGGGATAGTATTAACAGAGATGTGTATACTGGAA